AAAGGATAGGTGGGTGGGGGGGAGGAGGGGCGCGGGGGGGGGGGGGGGCGGGGGGCGAGCGCGGGCGCGGCGACAGCGATGATGCCCAGGCAGACCCACCTCCTTGTTTTGGCAGGGGTCCTTATAGGGAGCAAAGGCCAGTTCTTTCCTTTGACCACGAACAGCGGCTATTATTTATTTATTTATTCATTTATTCAAAAGGTTTAGATACCGCCTTTGTGCGGAAGGACGCAAGGCGGCTTATTACAGCATTTAAAAGAAACAAAGTTAAAAGCCAAATAGCAAATTATTACAATTTTTTTAAAGCGTGAAATAACTATCGTATTAAAATTCACAATAAGAACGATATTAAAAATACAAATAAAATACAGATAAAAGGCTACCTTGAAAAATCCCCTTCGAGCAAGCCCAGTACTGAGACTGAAAAATCAGTGTCCCCCCATCTCCCCAGCAAAAGGAGGGCAGAGTGTCTTTGTAATGCGGGCGGAGGAGGCTGTCTGTTGGGTTATAGCCCTGAATTCATATGGTTTAAAAGATTGGGGGGGGGGTGCCCATATTCACTTACATAACCCCACTGAAAGGACATGATTTGACTTTTTATCACCACCCAAAAAAAACATAAATGCCATCTTATCTTTTAAAAGCCATTGGCCACTTTTGCAGAGCATAAAGGGAATGTTTGAATGAAACTGCATACAAGCAGCGGTAGCAGGGGACAGAAGACTTCCAAATACAGAATGTCTGAAAAGGAAGAGAGATTTAAAAAATCAAATCCATGTAAAGTTTCAGGCATCATCACTGTATCAATCTTGAGTTTAGCTCGCTATATATATTCATAATCCACCTTTCTGTAACTTTTGACAGGTATAAAATGGCTGGACTCCAACCTCTATCCCAAAAACAATTCTTAGCATTTCTATGACAGCCAAGTGTAGTTGGCATGCAGCTTATCTCCCTGGCCAGGACCTGCCAATCCAAGTAATTAACAGTTTCACAGGCCCATTCCTGTGTTATTACTTATTATCACTTTGCTGAGTATCTGTATCTTCACCTAGTCAGGGGATATCTGTAAATACAGATTACACATATTTGCACTCTCTTTGTCTAAAGATGTGGATTTCGATCCATGAAAGCTCACACTGAAATAAACCTGTTAGCCTTTAAAGAGCTACAACATCTTGCTCTCCCTCCCTTCGCCCCCTCTCTCTTCCTTTTCTTTTTTTCTCCTTAGATTTTGCCAACATTCTGAAAGAGACCAACATGGCTACTTCTTTGGAAATTCTACTAGCAGTGTTTCATGGGACCCACCGGGTTGAAGAATGGATTCTTGCCTGAAGAGGTTAACAACATATACTGCCATGCAGGGGAAGCAACAGAAGATGCAGAGTTCCAGACAAAAGCAGTTTGCAGTTATTTGAATTGTATGTACAGTGGGGTCTTGACTTAAGAACTGAATCCGTATTGGAAGGCGGTTCTCAAGTCAAAAAGTTCTCAGGTCAAATCTTCATTTCCCATAGGAATGGATTGAAAACCATTTGATCCGTATCTGCTCTTTTCAGTCCATAGAAACTAATGGGAAGCTGCTATTCCGCCTTCGACCACTAGAGGGGGATATTTTGTTTCTTTTTTTCTTAGGTCAAGAAAGGTTCAGGGAAGGCAGGGAAAAGACAGTCCAGGCAGTACAAGTACCAGGCAGTCTGAAGACTGTCTCCCAATCCACTCTCTAAACGCTGGGAGGAGTGAGGAAGCAGACAGGCACCCTTTTCACTGGCCAACAGTTAACTGAAAGTTCAAATTTTGCACTTTCCCTGCCTCCCACGTGGGTTTTTTTCAGTTCGTAACTCAAATCTAAGTATGTAAGTCAAGTCAATATTTTCCTATGAGAGTGGTTTGTAAGTCAAAATGTTCTTAACTCGGGCCGTTCTTAAGTCAAGACCCCACTGTACTGAAGTTTAGTTACAGGGTTAGGTACCAAAGGATAGCGTTTTCCAACCTAATATCTTCCAAAGATGTTCAACTACAATCAGTACCTAGCACCCAGAGAATGCAGCCAGTGGGAGGAATGGATAATCCGAAATGTAGCTGAGCACATCAGAAATTCTGGGTTTGCACTTTTCTCATAACAGCCCTTGCACATATTTTTATTCATTAGGGGCCTATTCTGATCATGCAGTTCCATCAGCATCTGTATTGAGAGGTTAAAACTGTGCAAAGTAAATTATGTTAAATAATCACTCATTTGATGAGCTTGAGAATGAAGGCATACCCACAGATTTAGAACAGAATTATTAGGGGACAAGCTACTCTCTACACCAGTGTTTTTCATCCTTGGGTAGCTCAGGTGTTCTTGCACTGCAGTTCCCAGAAGCCTTCACCACCAGCTGTGCTGGCTGGGATTTCTGAGAATTACAGTCCAAGAACATCTGGGCTACCTAAGGTTGGGAACCATGGCTCTACATCAATTATGCTAGGTGGGGTTAAAAGGAGATTGACTTCTGTCTTGGTACTGGGGACACTTTCATCCATAAACCACGTTGTCAGGAAAGGGAAATATAAAATTAACACAAATTACAGACTGCTCCCAGGATCTAACAATGGCAGCAGAGATGTACATAATAGAAGTGATCCCCTGGTGGCATCTGTACCCAGAGGGAACCAATTAACTCCCATTCACAGTCTCTTTTCCAAAACTACTCAGACATCAATGCAACAGTATCCCCACTATACATGTTTCTGTGGCACAGCCAATAAAAAGTCTGTCAGGCAGAGGATCAACTTTGGTGCTCTATTCATAGCTTGCTGCAGTCCACACCATGCCTCGTGATGGAACTGGAAGTGAATGGAAGTCTAATTTTGGTTTCAGAAAAATCCCATTTTAAAACTAAAAGGCATTGGGGCAGACATCTTGTTTCAAAAGAAAATCACATACTGGAAAGTACAATTATCCTTGTTAAACATTCTCTTTTTTTAAAAAATCTGCCCTTTGTTAATTATTTTTTCACCCCTTTATTATTATTTCTCTCTTTCTCTCTCTCTGTGGGTGGAATCTGGATCTTATACTGGATAGCATCTACCTTGATGAAAAGATTCCAGAACTAAGCAAGGCAAATAACATTTTATTTTGAGAACACTGTACTATTTTTGTACATTATTTTTTGTTGCTGTTTTAAATCTTTCTTTCTTTCTAGTAGGGGTGGCTCTGAGGGATCTAAAGGTTGTCACAACTTAGGAATGCATGCTCATGTGTTGCCCCCTGCTTTACTAGAGCTTAGAAAAGTTAATTTTTGGATTAGAACTCACATGGGTAATTAAACCATACTGTCTAGGGATTCTGGGAGTTATAGATCAAAACTGTAACTTCCCCGGTTCATTGATGTATGTTATTGTCAAGCACGGCAGAGAAAAGGAAGGAAGGAATACCACAACGCTATGCAGCAAATAGCTGTGTTCGCGTTTATTTATTTTATTTATTTATTGGACTTATATACCGCCCCATAGCGCTACAAGCACTCTCCGGGCGGTTTACAATTTAACTATACAGGCTACACATTGCTCCCCCCCCCCAGCAAGCTGGGCACTCATTTTACTTACCTCGGAAGGATGGAAGGCTGAGGCAACCTTGAGCCGGCTACCTGGGATTTGACCACAACACTATGCAGCAGATAGCTGTGTTCGCCTTGCTGACTGATCAGTCAAGAGGCCTGCTAAAGAGGCAGACAGCCCTGCTTTGGGCCTAAGGTTTTTGAAAGTCACTGAGAAGGCAAGATGGGGACAGGACAGACAACAAGGGAACCTGTAGCTGCCAGTGGAGCATTCAAAGTAAGACTTTGAAGCAGAAGCCCAGAGCCCTAGACAGCTGAATTAACAAGAAGCTCTTCAAACATAGCAGGGGTGGCTTAGCACTTTCTGAAGTAAGAGAGGGTGACACATATGACAATCTAAGGAAAGGCAGAAGAGATGAGTAATTCCACAACCTAAACTTTATTTACACTTCTCTTTTAGGACACCCTCATAACCTGAGGCTCTAAAGGCATAACATACTTAATTTGTGCATAAATCAAACATGGTGTTCAATATAAAAAGTCAGAAGATATGTCCTTGTGCCAATAATTCTTCAGTTTAAATTTAGATAGGATGGGGTGGGTGAAGGAGATATTATACAGAAGAGACAATAGGAGAAAACAAGGTAAGACGAGGAGGAATATGGGAAAGTACAAATTGACTCCAGTAGTCTCTCCGAAAGGGACACAGTATACTCCACCTGGAGTAGCCCTTCTTTGGGGATCCTTTTCCTCCCTTGGCTTTCCTGTGATTACAGTGTGCCTTGGTTGTTTTTCTACAAATTCTCACCAAAACACACACTTATATCTCATTGTAAATTAACAAAGGAATACCCTGTTTCGGGTTTTGTGCAAAGTGCAAACAGGAAGTGGGGCATTCATGTATGAATACTTTTTGCTGTGTATTACTTTTGAAAGGGTCTGAGGGGAAATCTAGGATTGGGAGATTTTATCCTTAGGATGTGGGGGGTGTCTTCACGCACTTATTTATACTTAGAAGCCTGTTAGAAGCCATTTCAAAATGGGAGAAAGGGGTATCTAAAAGTCTGAATGCTTCCATTTGTCTCTCTCCAGTTCTGAATGTCCCAACCCACTTGCAATCATTCTCTGGAAGCGCATGAAGATTGGGCATATTTAAATTGACTGTACACTGAATGCCTCTTCCAGGTTTACATAGTTTCTTGGGAAGAAAACTAGCTAGCATGGACAGTGAAACTCACTAGCATTAAAAACTAGCATCTGTGACAGTGAGCGTCATTACCAAGATGACTACTGGTGAAGAAAAGCATCAAAGGA